GAAAAGAGGTATAAATAATAAGAACCATGTATTCCATTAAAATCTCAGAAGCAGGGCACCTGGGTGGCTCAGTGGGTTAATCCTCTGCCTTTGGCTCAGGTCATGATCCCAGGTTCCAGGGATAGAGCCCTGCATCGGGCTCTCTGCTCAGCAGGGAGCCTGCTTCCCCCTCTCCCTCTGCCTGCCTCTCTGCCTACTTGTGACCTCTCCCTCTCTGTGTCAAATAAATAAATAAAATCTTTTAAAAAATAAAATAAAATCTCAGAAGAAAAAAAAAATCTCAGATTCACCCACATTAATTCAACAACTATTATCTGCAGAGCTTGGTATAATATTTGAAACGTTGCTATACAAATTATACTCTGAGTGCTCCTGGTGTCTCTACTATGCTCTAGGCAGATGACAAAAGATGACCTCCACTCAGGACATGTTGGGGACAGCACAAGGACACCCACAGACTAGCAGTGGGTCATTCAAACAGTACTATCATCTAATACATAATGAAGGTCTCCCATGTTCCAGGAACGTTATGTGTGTTCTCATTTTATTGTCACAATAACTCTATAAAGTGGGTGTTAATCTTACCTATGAAGATTGAAACTTAGAGAAAAAGCACCAGGGTCATAAATCCCCCAAGGGCTGTGTGAGAGCCTTTCAAAAAGTCTCCAGAGCCACACGCCAAACAAGAGCCCCATAACCACTGCTTCTGTTAACCCACAGAGAAGACACTCTGATTCTGCTTCATCAATCTATTTTATCTTGTGGTGGTTTTAGTCAAAGCGGAAACATTTTTACAGAGGAAGAAACTCAGTCTATTGAGAATTTTACAAATCCTCCTAAAATTATGTTTGCCATTTATCCATCTTTTTTCTTCCTTAAGAGAAAAGATGAATACTTCTTCAGATGAATAGAGAAAGAAGGGGCACCCACTGCCAGTCCTCTCCCACCCCTGCCCTGACCTCTCAATCCTGGTCCCAAGGAAGGATGTTTTCATGGTGGAGGTGTTCTTCCCAGACAAATGAGCCTAGTGATAGGTGGGACCCTGTGCAACCATCAGAGCAGAGTTCCATCCTCCGTCACTCAGACTTTTTTCTAGTGTCATTTTCCTTCTGCACTTTTATCCTTTAGGTCTCTTTAATGAGGATTTTGGGGGTCAATTTTCTCAGTGGTGGTTTATCTTAAATTGTCCTTAATTTTGCTCTGGATTTGACATTTGGTTCTGTCATGTATATAATTATAGGATGACATAAATTTTCACGGCCATTTGGAAATATCAACCCATGGTCTCCTGGTCTCGGTTATTACTACTGTGAAGTCCTTTGTCACTTTACAGTTCATTCTTTGTAGGTACTCCATTTTTTCTCTCTGGTCATTTTTTCTTTGTCTTGAATCAGCAGCTTCATTGCAGTGTGTCTAAGCAGATGTCGATTTCCATCTTTGTTTTTAATCCTTGTTGGGATTTGCTGGGTTTCATAAATCTGAGGATTCCATGTCCTTCATCAGTCCTAGACAGCTGTCAGTCATTATCTTTGCAGACATTCCCTATTTTCTCTTTTCTGTCCCTTATGGAATTCCAGTTAAATATATGCAGACGTGTTTGCTTTATTCTTCATGGCTTTTTGTTTTTTCCCATGTCTTTAACACTCTGATAATTTATTATTTCCTTAGATCTGCCTTGCAGTATATTAATTTCCTCTTCAGCTAAAGCTCATCAGTGGGTTAGTCCCTGTGTTGATTTTTTAAAATTTAAATTATTGCATATTTTATTTTTGGAAAATTTATTTCGATCTTATTAAAAATATGACAATTCATCTTTTGTAGTCTCTTGTTCCTTGCTCAGGAGTTTAAATTCTTTCCTTTATTTCTTATTTTTTCAAAGGTTTTTTTGTATTTATTTGAGAGAGAGAGAGAGAGAGAGGGAGAAGGAATGAGAAGGGTGGGAAGGGTCAGAAGCAGCGGGAGAAGCAGGCTCCCTGCTGAGCAGGGCGCGATCCCAGTACCCTGGAGCAACCTGAGCTACAGCAGATGCTTGACCGACTGAGCCACCCAGGCGCCCTTCCTTTATTTCTTATTAACATAATTATTTTGTGCTGTAAATCTATTAATTTTATTCTAAAGCTTTTGTGGATCTGCTACTCACTTTCCTCATTTTTGATAACTCTCAGGCATAGTGGTTAATGTATGTGTATGTGTGTGTGTGTGTGTGTGTGTGTGTGTTTTCATGAGCTCATATTTGTTAAAACTTTTATCTGAGGGGATTCTTTTTTATTTAATATTTTCTACTGAAATAGAGTTGACACACAATATTACATTATTTTCAGGTGGACAGCATAGTGATTCGATAACTCTAGACCTTACTCTATGCTCACCACAAGCGCAGCTGCCCTCTGTCACCACCACACAACACTCTCACAGTAACACTAGCTCTGGTCTCTATGCTGTACCATTCATCCCCGTGACTTACTCATTCCACAACTGGAAACCTGTGTTTCTCACTCCCCTTCACCCAGCTTGCTCACCCTTGTGCCCCCTCCCTTCTGGCAACCACCCATTCCTTCTGAGAGAGTTCTTTGAAGCCTAGGTGGAGAGAAGGTCCCTCAAGTGATGATTCCTATTTACTTTTTCCAGGTGCCTAGGATATTTGTCTTTTCATATAGCAAACTCTCATTTTTGGTGAATTCACTTTCATCTTGCTTAAATGATTTATGGTTTGCTTTGGTTTCCATGAATTATGTTTATATATGAGAAAAGAAGTAAAATGGTATCAGTTCTTAAGAAGGTCTGTGTGCTCCGCTGCAGGTAATATAGATGCTGTTTGGCTCTCAAGATTCTTTCAAGCTCATCGCACAGAGCCTTTGATTCCACTTTCTAACTTTTAATTGCAGGATAACAATACATGCAGAAACATGCACGTGTCCTAAGTGTACAGCTTGATGAATGTCTACAAACTGAACACGTTCATGGAATTAACACTCAGAACAAAACCAGAACATGGCAAATTCTCAGAAGTCCCCCTCATGCCCTCTTCCAGTCATTACCCGGCCGCTCCCCCAAGGCAAACGCTACCTAACTTCTTCTTTTTTTTTTCCTGACATTTAAATGTTTACTGTGATACTCCACAACCAAATCAAACAAGGGTTTGTCCACCTAATGTGCAGCAAGCCAATTAAAACTGTCATGGAGCTTCTGCAGTGAAGAAAGGTAGGCTAGGTATTGGTGTGGTACCACCCAGGAGAATGGAAAGCTCATTCTCTAGAGTCCTGAACTGCCCGATGGCTTGCAACTGAGGGCTCTGAAGGGCAAAATTTGGGGCAAGGGTCTTTGAGGAAGCAGACATCACTGAGTGGAGGCCCATGAGATCATGCTACCAAAGGTCTCCTGAGAAGGCAGATGCTGTTTTTGTTTTTGTTTTTTATAAGAATTTATTAATTTATTTAGAAGAGAGAGAGTGTGTGAGCAGTGGGGGGCAGGGGAAAGAAAGGGAGAAGGAGAAGCAGCCTCCCTGTTGAGCAGGGACCCCAGTGTGGAGCTTGATCCCAGGACCCTGAGATCATGACATGAGCTGAAGGCAGATGCTTAACCACTGAGCCACCCAGGCACCCCAAAGGTGGACACTATTGAGAGGAGGCCCATGAGGTCATGTTAATAGGTACTCAGATCCTGCTCCAGCTGGCCTCCTGAAGTTCTTTTCCATCTCAGGAGACTTAGATTCGGAAAAATATCTTTAATTCTTCTGTTACAGATTTCATTAGGTACATGTAGTACTTATATCTTTAAAGTAGTGCCGATTAACTACGTGTAAGCCAGTGGGATTGCATTCCTACAGGTTCTCTGGCCAGTCCAGCCATGCCTGCAAGTGGTATAACCTCTAGAGTTCTTTTTTTTTTTTTTTAAGATTTTATATATTTACTTCAGAGAGAGAATGAGTGAGAGAGAGAGGGAGAGGAAGTGCGTGAGCGAGGGAGGGGCAAGGGAGAGGGAGAAGCAAACTCCCCACTGAGCAGCAGAAATAGACTCCCAGCTGAGCAGTGAGCCTGATGGGGGTTTGATCCCAGGGCCCTGAGCCACCCAGGCACCCTTCTAGGGTTCGCTCTTGCATCTGAACTGACAAGACAGATGCGGACTTCACCTCCACATGATTTTTGCAATCATGCACACATATCATGTTACATATACATCAATCTCAATCGGTCTTCACTACGTTTTCTTCCTTACCACATTATGAGTGCTGAAAGATACTTAATTTCAGCTTTGAAATAATTCACAGAGGATTCCCAAACTCAACAAAATAGATCCTTCGAAGCTCAGCTTCATGACTCTTAAGAACTGGGAGATTGTTTTGAGTGTGGTAGCAGGATAAATGTTCCTTTTAGCCATCTAGTTCTCAAATCAAGTGCAGGAAAAATTAGAGCCTGTCTAAGTAAATCCAATACATTATCCATTATAGAAAAGGAATCCGTGGGCACATAACAACACATTGTTACTAAGTGGGAGGACACGATGTGAGATGATGATTTTTACAAGTTTATTTGAAGCCTGTTTAGTCTAACAGACAACGTGAAAGTGATGTGTTCTAGAAAACCTGTGGTCATCTTCTATCCAATTTACAGAAATGATTATTCACAAATTATTTTCTTTAATTAGATCTGTTATTATGGCGAGAAGACTTGTATTAATCTATTGGTGCTACTATTTTAGTGGAAAATAGAAAATAATTATTTTCTTTCTCAACAAAGCTGGTCTACTTTGCTACAAAAACACCTCAGCTTTCGAAGGCATTTTTTTTTTTCTAAAGATTTTATTTATTTATTTGACAGAGAGAGAGAGATCACAAGTAGGCAGACAGGCAGGCAGAGGGAGGAGGGGAAGCAGGCTCCCCGCTGAGCAGAAAGCCCAATGCAGAACTCGATCCCAGGACCCTGAGATCATGACCTGAGCCGAAGGCAGCGACTTAACCCACTGAGCCACCCAGGCGCCCTTTCTAAGGCATTTTTATGTAAAAAGCAGAAAGCAAAATAGTTAACAGCCAAGAAGCTTTATTTAGCATTCCAACCTAGGATCGTGGCCAAGTTCCACCCATGATTAAATACGTATTTCCAGGTAATGGCTTAATATGTGGCTCAATTCTTTATTTGTAATACAAGGATATAATAAATGGCCCAGAACAGTAACACCTAAGTTATAACAAATATGCATGCCATTTTAAAGGGTGCCTAGCACATAGAAAGCCTTTAATAAATGGACCACTGCTCTGATTTCTGACAGAGTAGATTAACTTTACCTACTTTTTAATCACTAGTAGATATTCTTTTGTGTCTGCTTTTTTCCATCACTCTGCAACTATGTTTCCGAGCTTCAACTGTGTTATTGTACGCAGCAATAATTTGTTCGTTTTCAGTGATTAATCAATAATTGATTGATCAATAGATTTCAATTGTGTTAATATACATTTATCTATTTACTGATCTATTTACTTCTCTATTCTGCTGCAAGTGCTCATTCCACTTGGGGAATGCTACAAATAAGGTTACTGTGAACATTCTTATTCTACCCCACGTCTTTTAGTAAACACATGTATGTATTTCTGTTGACCAGATACCTGGAAATGGAATTGCTGAACCACACGGTATATGTAAATGTCAAAACAATTTTCCAACCACCAGTAAATAAGAGTCCCAGACACATTACAGCCTCACCACAACTTGGTAACTTCTGCCTTTTTCATTTTATTCATTCAGGTGGGTGTCATTGTGGTTTTCGTTTGTATTTCCTTGATGACTGACAAAGTTGAGCACATAGATCCAGCACGAATTCCTGTGCAGATCACAGGACCAAACTAAGAGTGTAGACTCAGGCCCCGTTCCCAAGAGAGGACCAGCCAGAGGCCATGAATCCTCAGGGATTTTTCATCTTGGCTCCTCACAGAAACACAGCAAGACAGGGAACTTGCCAGCTCTCCCCACCATCTGCAAGAAGCTTTCCAGTTTGTTGTTTCCTATGTTTAATTTCTAGTTCACCTCTTGCGTGAGGACAGAGGCTCCAGCACCCCCACACGTGTGCTATGGTGAGAACAACTTCCTGCCTGCACACGTCTGCCTCTAGCTTCTCTGCATTAGAGACTCTAGTCACACCTTCCAACTCACACAGACCTCCAGGACGTCCAGAGTTTTCTGCTCACGTACCTTCCTGATCTTAGCTCCCACTTCCTTTTTCTCCATCCCAACATTTTTTCCTCTCTGGAAGCTTACCTATTGATTCAAAAGTTGTTTTTTCACAGTTTGTTCATATTTCTAGGTGTAGTACAACAAGAAGATTTGGAGGAATTTAGGTCTTTACTTTAAAACTGACATATAAATAGGTACTCTGAATGTGGTTTTTTCTGTACCAGAATCCTGTGGCTTGTGGTGGCAAGGCCTCTGTTGTGCTCAGGGCTCATTCATACTTGGAAAGGGGTGGTTTTTGTGTCCTCAGGCACATAACAAGAAGGCAAATCTTTCTTTCCCTGCACAGTGACTCTACAGAGTGTAATCTCCCCACCACATAAGTCATCCAACGCAGGAATAGGCCTCTCTGGCAAAGAAATAGAGACTAAAGTAGTTCTCTACTCCACTATGAAAAGAAGAATGGGGTCTCTGTTCCCATGTGAATCTATAATAGCAGACCTTTAAAAAATTAAGCTAATAAACAATCAGTGACAAAGGTAGACACTGATGGTGAAAAGATTTTGCCCAGAATTAAGAACATTCTGCCCTCTCTTTCACAAAAGTACAGGAAAGATAAAATGCCCATGAAGGAAGCAGTGGGAAAGCAAAAGAGGCAGTGTTGTCTAATGATTTATTAACTTTCATCAAGCCGCTATATTTTACAATATTTCAGTTTATTAAATTTCTTGTGACTCTATTTTCTTGACTAATGAGCTGATAGTGAAAGTGCCTCATACCTAGATTGCATACAAAATGAAACATTTGAAATTGTGTAACTATATGAACTGTACAGTTCATATAACTCAAAAGCATTTACTGATTATAAACAAATCATTACATCTGCCATTTTTATTAGCTCCGAAAATGTTGTAACTTCAGTTTTGTGATCGTGTCCAGTGAGAAATAGAATTCCCTCTCATCTATCACCCTGTGGATAATTCTTATTTGAAATAGAGAAAAATGTCTCAGCTTGATTTTATTTACTGAAGTCAATTAAATAATTTACCTTTTTAAACACCTTCATTGTCATTTAATACATTTTTGATATCTCCAAGAAATGAAATAAAAGAAGATTGTTTCAAAAGCATGAGGCACCCGCTAAACACCTAAGCTATTCGAGTTCATCTTTCGTTACAGAAACAAAGGCATGTTAAAAACAGATGTCAATCTCTGTGAAAACAAAGCCTTCTATATTCATGTGTGCACCAATCTCCCGAGTTTTGTGAAGGAAAACAAAATGAGGACGACACTCTGCCAATGCTGAGGGATGGCCCGGTCGGTCGCTGGGGTTCTTCATCATCATCCTGTGATAATAAGAACATGGACTTCTGCTCATTAAAATTTACTGACCATTGTGGCTAATCGCCAGGAGGCTGGATTCTGGCCTCCAACTATTGATATCTTTGTGAAAATTGATCTACATCCACCTTTTAAAAGCACCAATGATAGAATCAGAACTTTTGAAAGCAAAGAAAAATGGACACATATTCGTAAAAAAGAAGGAGATGCTGAAAGCAAACTGGAAGGAGGCAAGACTTACCTTGCTGTGTACCTTCTAAGAACAAATGCAATTGCCACCTTAATACGAGAAAATGAACAGCACGTGTATTGAAGAACAGCACGACCTCGATCACTATCTGTTTCCAATTGTTTACATCTTTGTGGTCATAGTCAGCGTCCCAGCCAACATCGGATCTCTATGTGTGTCTTTTCTGCAAGCAAAGAAGGAGAATGAGCTAGGAATTTACCTCTTCAGTTTATCACTCTCAGATCTGCTCTACACATTGACTCTCCCTCTATGGATTGATTACACTTGGAATAATGACAACTGGACCTTTTCTCCTGCCTTGTGCAAGGGGAGCGCTTTCTTCATGTACATGAACTTCTACAGCAGCACGGCCTTCCTCACCTGCATCGCCGTTGATCGGTACTTAGCAGTGGTCTACCCTTTGAGGTTTTCTTTTCTAAGGACAAGAAGATTTGCCTTCATGGTCAGCCTATCCATCTGGGTATTGGAAACCTTGTTCAATGGTATCATTCTGTGGGAAGATGAAACCACTATAGAATATTGTGATGCCAAAAAGTCTAATTTTACTTTGTGCTATGACAAGTACCCCCTGGAGAAGTGGCAAATCTGCTTCAACTTCTTTAGGACATGTACAGGCTATGCAATACCCTTGGTTATCATCATGATTTGCAACCAGAAGGTCTACCAAGCCGTGCAGCATAACCAAGCCACTGAAAACAGTGAAAAGAAGAGAATCATAAAACTTCTTGTTAGCATCACACTGACTTTTATCTTGTGTTTTACTCCCTTTCATGTGATGCTGCTGATTCGCAGCATCTTAGAGCACGATGGGAGCTTCGGTAAACTCACCTTTAACCACAAGTCTGGGAAGCAGACTTACAAAATGTACAGAATCACGGTTGCATTAACAAGTTTAAACTGTGTTGCAGATCCCATTCTGTACTGTTTTGTCACTGAAACGGGAAGATCTGATATGTGGAGTATATTAAAGTTCTGTACTGGGAAGCTTAATAACCCAAAAGCACAAAGAAAAAGCATACTTTATATGTCTACAAGAGACACCACGGAATTAGAAATCCTGAAATAGAAGCAAAGACTTTTTTTAAGGTACACAGTATCATAACATCAAGGTTACATTTTGAGGAGGAAATTAAGCATGGGAGGGGACAAAGTGTTCCAACTGAATATTTTAATCCTCTTCAATGGAAATCTTTTGGAAGTGTACTGTATGGGTCCCTTTTATTAAATTGAATATTGAATAAAATTCAATAATATTTAAAAAATTCAATAGTATTTTAGTGACTCAAGATCATTATTATCAATAGCAATTGGTTTGTTTTGTTTTGTTTTATCTATGCTGTAACCTTTCAGAGGTTATTAGATGTATGGAAATCTGTGCCCTTAATTCAGTGAGCTTTGTGTCCAGTTTTCATGATTTTTGTCACTCTTTCAATAGATTTCAGACCACCAACTATCACTTTTCCCAACTGTATGTAACTGTCTCCAGCAACCCCAACTACTAAATACTGCTTCTAATCTTCTCATTAGGTCAAATACTTATTGAGTCCTTCTATGTACTAGGCTTTGTGTTAAGTACTGGGGTTACAAAAGAAATGGTCTCATGAAGCCTTATGAAGCTTATGTCAGTTTGGAAACCTAGTCATTGAGCTTGTAAGACTTTTTACTGAAGAAAAGCAAATAGGAGTCTGAAGGCCTCTTCCGTAATACAAAGCTATGGGCTACGTGTACACTCTTTCGGCTGCTCAGAGGTCTTCTTCATTTCTTTAAAATCATAATTTTAAAAAAATTTACATTTGAGTACAACATAGCTGAAATTACTAGAAAGTTAATGTCTACACAAAAAGACATAGACACCAAAGGCACTTATTCCTTTAAATCTTACAGTCAGGGACTCTTTTTGGACTTAGAATATTTAGAGAATCTTGATAAAATATATTCTTTTATGTTTATGTTTTCTTGTTGTGGAAATTACCCTGCCTAGTTTTAGGTAGGAATTACTTAAGCAAACTTTTTATGAACCAAAGTATTTTTCCAGATTTTTAAGGATTTTTTTTTTTTTTAATCCTACACTACTCCTTCTCTCGTTCTTTCTCTTTCCTGTTTCCTCTCTGGTCCTTCTCCCCCTCCTTACAAAATGATCTGATAATAAATGTCTTGGTCCCATTTAGTGTCCTCACCTTAGAAAACAAACATCCTGGGAACAAGAAAGACTATCTTTTCAATAGTAAAATCAGTGAGTACACAAATGGACTACATTTTCTATTAAGGTGTTCTGTGATGGTTCAGGTACACAAAAGAAAACCACCTCACTTTGAGGTCACTTGTGTATTCTCTGTTCTTTGTATTTTTCTGATCATAAAGTTTCTGGAGAATTAATAGATTCTGTCTGGTCACACAGATACATCTACATATGCTTAAAAGCTAAATATACACCATTAAAATGAAGAGTAATTAAAATAGTTTAGCTGTTTGATTAATTATTGATAAATTATTGGCAGCCTATAAGTTGAATGCTTATAAAACTAAGAGTTCCACAAACAATTTTGCCCATATCTAGAAACTCTGATGTTGATTGAGTGTCTTGTCCAAGATCACACAGTTAGTTGGAAACAAAGCCAGGCTTGAACTCCCAAATCACTTCCCTCCAGAGTTGCTTTTCCTCCTTTATGTTTATTTGTTTTAACATTTCTACCATTTCTTTCTTTAGAGATGCAAAAGGTCTACATGCATGAAGAATTGTTCAGGAGAGTCATTGGACTTAGATCAGGATAAGGAGGATTCTTTTATTAATGAATGCTTTATTTAATTTTATTTTATTAAAGGGGTTATTTTATTAATGAATGCTTCTGGAAATATAATAAATCGTATGGATAGTAACTAAGCTCATCTGTTACAGAGAGCTGGTTAGGACTTTACCTCAGCTGGTTATATAAAGAGACGTGGCAAACACAAATTCGTAGCACTCTTAATAATGGTTAAAGAATCAATGATTTGGAATGTTGTATGATAGGTTAAAAAGGAACCAGGCCGCCAAAATCTTTGAGCAGTGTATCCATCCTGCCGAGCAGAGCCAGTCTTGGAGGACCCACAGTGGCAGGATGCTGTCCAGATTTTAGGGCAAAGCACGCTAGATATGATCTAAAATTTTCTACAGTTCTGACAGTGGGAAGTTAAGCTTTCGGTTTTGAGAAGCCTTTTTCGTTCCTAATTACAATCTTCCATTAAACTGTAAGTATGGGGGTGCCTGCGTGGCTCAGTGGGTTAAGCCTCTGCCTTCAGCTCAGGTCATGGTCTCAGGGTCCTGGGATCGAGCCCCACATAGGGCTCTCTGCTCAGTAGGGAGCCTGCTCGCCACACCCCCGTCTGCCTGCCTCTCTGCCTACTTGTGATCACTATCTGTCAAATAAATAAATAAAATCTTTTTAAAAAATAAAAAATAAATAAACTGTAAGTATGTCTGGAAGGAGAAAGACCCTACAGCTAATATCATCTGGGACTTTGTTGGCAGAAGACCCAGACAGGAGCATCACTGACCACCCACCATTTGACCTTAAAGAATTTTTGTGTTCTCCCTAAGGCTCAGCTTCTGTCCACTGCAGGGGCAAGAATAACACTTGCTTTTAACAAGTAGATGTGAAAACGACTTTGCAGAAGGTGATGAGATGTCTAGATGTTCATTATTACTTATTCTCATCTTTATCAGGATTAGTGGACAGCTACCCAAGAGATAGAGATGTCCCCAGGACCCTGGGGTAAGAATGTGGCCATGTGAGCTGACCGGGGCCAGCTCCAGCACACCTCTGCTCTGGTTACTTCTTCCAGGGAGCTGAACATACCCGTCAAGGTAACTGAAGGGCCTTCGTTGTTCCTGGCTCTGTGGCATCTTCTCCGTAGTGCCTGCTCCTGGGAGTTCATAGTGCTGAGGAGACACACACTGAGGATGTCACCATGAACAGAGGGGTGGACATCCATTTTTAATTTGTTTAAATTCCAGACTTTTTATTTCCTTATTCAGAATGTTATTTTTTTAAGATTTACTCATTTATTTTAGAGAGAGAGAAAAAGAGCACATGTCTAGGGTGAGGGCCAGAGGGAGAGAGAGAAGCTCAAGCAGACTCCTTGCTGAATGGGGAGCCCAACATGGGGCTCGATCTCACGACCCTGAGCTCATGACCTGAGCCAAAGTCAAGAGTCAGACGCTTAACTGACTGGGCCACCCAGGCACCCCGATTTTTTAATCTAACGGACTCAGACATCTTAGATAAGCCACTGAGGAAACTGAGCACAGGATTTTAAAACATCCATTTTTCCTACCTCATCTGAAGAAGCTTCATGGATGAAGGAGACGTGAAAACACATCAAAAATAACCACCTCATTTGGACCAAATGATACAGGATTATCTCCATAGGGGCAGTCTGAGCAAATCTGCTTCCCCAACATCATTTATTCCATTTTCTCTTTGCAGTTTAAGCCATAAATTCTCCCCAAGACATTATTTTTTCATTCCTAAATGTTAGGATCAGATAAACAATTATTTGCCAATTGCCTCTGTTGACCTTGTGAACTTGACTTACTTACTTAGAAATACGCAGTACCAATTTTAAAATAGAATCTGTGGTGCATGGCATGTAAGCATTTCTTTTTCCAACACTTTTATCTCACCCTGGGCTTCCTTTAGTCCAGACACTACTGTCATCGTTCTGTCATTTATGCATGAGGCCTCTGTTCCTTCCTGGCTGAGCCCATCCACAGGTTGCTATGGAAACACAACAGCTACTGTAACTCCCTGACCCAAGAAGGCCTTTGTGATAATAGACTTCTTTGTCCAGGTCCATCGGGTGACTCTGCCATGAATCGGTAGGCTGTTCCTCCAACAGACACACCCACACACGAATAACACATATTCATAGATACAAACAACCTGTCCCGTGTCACAAAAACAAACCAACGAAAATTCCTGGGATCTTTTAACATGTGTTTGTGCTATTGCGTAAGATGCCTAGTACCAATGAGGAGAACACATATTACCTCCTTAATTTCTGAAATAATTCTCCTTGTGGGTGTTTTCATTTTGTTGTTTACTAGATCAGAAGTCGGGGGTTGGGGGAGACATTGTCAAGATCCTCCCTGCCAATCCCTACTCCCTTCTCTTTCCTTCAGGCAGAAGTGGCTACCAAGGACTATTCTGGAAAATGGTATTCTGGAAAAATCCAGTTCCGACTGGGATTTTTTTTTTTTTTTTTACATCTTCTGGGCAGACACCTATGGGGGAGAATAATAGGTTAATTTAAAAGAAAGCAGGAATGTCCTGTGTTGTTCTTTGTTCATAATATAAACACTTGATTGGATTCAACTTTTTTTTTTTTTAATGACCATTCATTTCTTTTATTCTTTGGCATTTTGTAAAGCTTAAAGATAGAGCACGTGATTAAGTTCATGTTATTTAGTTGCATTTGCTGAATGCCCCTTGTTTGCAGGAATAAGCAGACAGTGGCAAAATTGGGTCAAACTTGGGTGAGGGAGAAGAAAGCCATGCAGGAGTTTAGAGTTTTTCTCCTCCAAAGATCCTTTTTTGGCTACATCGTTTGTCGCTGGCCAAGAAAAATCACACAGACGCCTTGCCTGTGGCCACTAGATGTCGATCATGTTCTATTTAGAACATTGTATTTCCACTCCCCTCCCCCCCACCGTCACTCCCAAAGGGCAGAGTAGTGTAATGGTGATGTTCTACCCAAGAAACAAGAAATATCCTCTATAAATTAGAAATGAAGGAGAGGAAATGGTGAAATTCAGTTTGTATCCTTTGTCTTCCTGCTTTCCCGGCAACCTTAGTAACTGTCAGGTAATTTCACTTGGTTTAAACTCCATGTATCATTTTAGTATCATTTTTTCCAGCTGCTCAAAACTGGTCAGTCCATATGTAAGAGAACATAACTGTGTAATTTCTGCAGGACTGGATACAACATGGATAACTTGTATTTGTTTGGTTATCTTAACCATGTTAGAAAATACTCATCCCCTTTCACATAAGTAGAAACAAAATAACTGAGCTTTCAGAAGTTTGCAATTTTGTCTACTATAATAAAATTATTATCGCCGAAATTCAAGATGTAATTCAGTATATGTATGATTTTCAATTTCAAATTTATTATTGATATATCTCAACACTAAAAATGTACATTATGTTGAATTGTTGAATCTGTTCCTCCCCAAAGAAGAGTAATGCAGTCATCATTTAA